GTATTTTTAATATTATTGTTTGTTTGTTTCAGTATGCCGTACTTCAGAATTTGTTATCGTGACAGACCTATAGACATGTTTGAATCAAATATAGCTTTTACTGATAGCAGTTTAAATGCTGATCTGTTCTTAATTACAAAAACGTTGGATGTGAATCGCATGCTGTTTATGTTTATAATAAGTTGTTTTTTTTTGTTCTCAAGACATAGTTATACAGTGAGGGCCTGTACACGAGAACGCTTGCGGGTAAAAAGGACAAAATATCTTATCGGAAGTGCCTTTCATTTAGACGGTGATGGTGTTTTGGGGCTTAAAAATGCCAATGAAAAGTTGAATATGCTCCACCGTAGCATTTCCGTCTACACTGCCCAAGACACAAAATTCTAGTCAGATCTGCTCACGTTGCGTACATGTTTACGTCACGTACATCACCACCTAGCGTCACCACCGAGCCACCTGGCATGCATCCCAACTGAATTCCACACACTTTTGCGTCACCGTATGCACGTAGATTTCTTCCCGTGAAATGCTCATCTAAACGCGGAATAAAAAATGAAGACACGATGCCACTTTTTGATGACCTCTTCTGTTCAGACGTCATCATATAAACATAGTCTGAGAAAGCAAAATGAGCGCCACTACATTAACTCCAGCGCCTGCAGACAACCCTGCTCAGTCAGGTTAAAGGTGCATCGAGGGTCCGTCAAATGCTTTTCTTCATGTAGATGTTATTGCTTTGTTTGGAATGTTTCACAGTATGGTATTAAATCTTTCTATCTTTGTAGAGACCAAACCAGACAAAGTTACAGGTCAGATCTGTGGAGAGGCGACCCCGCTCACAGTCAGAATGTAAGGCAGAGCTGTTTAATGTCATACTGTGGAACATTCCAGGCAGCAGTGACATATCAAAACCAGTAAGCGCACAGATTACATACAGTTCCTTTAAACCAGGTATCACATCTTGCCAGTTAGATTAGGCAAATTAACACAGCCTATTTAGTATATTTATTTATGAAGCCTTGGGTTGTTGTTGAACGTAGAAAGACAGCATTTAAACATTTAATTAGAGATGTAAATGCAGCCAGATGGCATATTAGCAGCTATAATTGTTAAAGGTCTATTTGGTTAAAAAGCATAAGTGACAATACTCTTACGCACAGTATTGCAAATTACCAAAGATTAAAAACATGTTCCTGAAACCTGTGACCTGAAATCAAATTACTTTAAATGGTCAACTTTATTATTGCCAATTTACTGTGATTAGATTTGACTCATTTACACATTTCACAGATCAGTTATGATGCGTTTAAAATTTCCTGTTGAACAAAAGCAATTCTTGTCTTAATTTTTTTGAATATTGTAATTTTTTTTCGCTCAGTTTGAAATTAATTCCAGGTCGTTCCACAGTTCTGCTTTGATGAGGGGGTATTTTACTTCAATGGGATATTAACTGCTGACATATAATATCTTTAGATCATCACGTTACCTTTTAATGTTTTGAAAATTTCACTTTTTCTGACGATCTGAGCCTCCCGTCCCTTTACTTTCCATTCTAAGTCACTCCCCCTTCAGAGCACTATCACAACATAATCAGCATGCAACCCTCTAATGAAACTACTGCACATTTGCTACAGGTTTTTCAAGTTGTTGTGTGCAGTTTTGTATCATGCTTTTGTAATGTATTTATCAGTCTTTTTGTATTTATTTATGCATGGATGACACCTACAACCTCTTCGTGCATGTTTTTGATGAAGGAACTACGTTATAACACGGTAGAAAGCACAAAAAATAGATTTTGCATAATACCCCCTATTTAATTATAGCTTGAAAATGTTATTTCTCTGTGTATAATCTAAACTTCTCAACCTTGGAGTGACAACGGCTCAGATTTCATTTTACGGTTCTGTTTACATGCACACAAACATCGGATCATTATCTGATTTCTGGAGTTATCAGATTATTAAAATGTCATGCAAACAGAACTTGTGATGAGTAATCTGATTTATCTCTGACTGTTCACACCTGTGCAGGTTTTGACAAGGAAAGATGCACAACAGGCAAACTAATGTGACAAAGACAAAAGTGAAAGAGACTCTAAAAACCGTTGAATAAAAGACATGTGTCAACATGTGTTTTTAATGATCTGGTTTCACTTGTGCATACACACCAAAATCAGATCTAATTATCGGCTTATCAGATTATTATTAGTTATCTGACCACGTGAATGTGCCCAGTGTTGACCTTAGTCGTGGTTCATCTAAACTTCAGACTCATTTTGTGTAAAAATCTTGTGTGTATTCCTAAGTCGAGACTTTTTCCTGTGTTAAGTTTGCAAATGAGGACACAGGTAGTTAATGCAGCAATAGCCTTCTCCTGTGTAGCGCGCTTTACGCCTTGGCCTCCCGATGTGAGGGTGATAGCATGTGGGGCGTTTGATTTCTACACCAGGCCATAATGAAGTTTGACATTTAGTTTGGAGAGAGCAGCGGAGCGCGATCAGGCCTTGATTAGTGCGCTCTAATTGAGGATAATAAGGGGGAGGCGGTGATTGTTTCTAATTTTTGCCATTAATTGCAGCCGTTGGCTTTGATTGAGGACAGGCAGGGCTGCCATGTCAAGGGGCCCAGCAGAATCATAGTGCTCCTCACCCCAAGCCTCTTGAATAACAATGAATACCCCCCTCCCTCCCTCCTCTACTCCCTTCGCACCCTCCACTCCGGGCCTTTTTACATTGTCATTCATTTCCAGTGTAGCATTAGAAAGCAGGCTCCACCGTGAAGCCTTTAAACTGTCATCTCCGTAGCAGGAGCGTAATACAGTGTAATCACAGGTTAGCCACGCACCTATCCCGCTGCCCAGGTGATCTGAGCCGAGTGCCAAAGAGACTTCATTACCACGCTGCCTCCTGATGGCTCTCATAGGCGCTAACAGCCGGCTAATAATGGACCGCCATCGGGCCAACTTCATCATTCTCAACTAAAGTAATCCAATCTGCAGCTCTTACCTCTCAAATGAGAAGCACTTAAGGTTCAGGAGCTTAAAGGTAGGGTATGTAACAGCAACTTATGTGTATGTGCAGGTATGTAAATGCAAGGTGGGAACAGACCATTGGCTTTCAGACTATTTCAGGGTCTAACAATCGTTTTAGAATAAGAATTACTGAAAGAGGGGTAAATTCCTCCACAGTAAAAACGTACCAAAAAAACAAAATAAAAGTTAAACCAATAAGCATTTTAATTCAGTTGATTGTTCACATTTCAGCTGAAACAAAGTCATATTTAGCTAAAAAAAAAAAAAAAGTCATGTTTAGTGATACAAAAGCTGTCATGTCAAACATCTTTTTAGCTAAATCAGTTTGCTAAATCTCCCCTTCTTATCCAATATGCATCACACATTAAATCCCTTTTACTATCTGTCCATCCAGACCAACCTGAAATGCTTCCTCTTTCATGAGGCTGTCCCACATGTGCTGCAGGTGTGGTCTGAATGGGCCGGGGTCATTTTCCACAACATTAAGGCCCAAAATTGATAATTAGAGGTGTTTATGACATGACTGTGGCCCCAGGGGCAGCCCTCCCCTTTAACCTCAAGCGACATTAAACAAATGCTGGCTGTCACATTGGAGGCAGGTCTGCGCTCATGTCTTGTGTCGCCATACGGAGCAGTGCAGTTGGGACAGACGCTGGAGCACACAGGGAGGACCCCCGTGCCCCCAGCTGTCTGAGCCAGCTAATGACTCGTCTCAGGGGGGCTGTTGGAGGAGAGCAGGGAAATTGAAACAGACGCTTCGACTAGTGCTGCTACATGTGTGGCTGCGTGCTGCCATTCACACACAATAGCCCCACACACACTCCAGGCGTGTTTATTGTTGGGATGTGCTTTAAGAAATGATTTTACATTAGAAATAACAACCTTAGATTGTTATACTGTACCATCTACTGTAGCCTCACAAGCCCCTTCAGTCAGAGTTCTTTTACATGATCACATTGAATAGAACACTTAGGGTTAACTTTGAAATTGAGCTGAGATGAAATGAAGTGTCTCAGGTGCTGCCTCCGCGATGGCTCCACTCTGAAACAATGCGTCCTTAGGCCGTAGCAGCACTTCTCGCGCTAACGTTAGCATCCTCACACCCCTGCTGAGCGCATCTTACTCCACCACGACGGCCCCATCTCCCTAAAGGTAATGACCGAATTAGGCCTAATGTTGTACACTGGCTAATGGCACAGCGCCGCACATTATCGCATGTGCAACTGGCAACGACAACAGCAATAATCCCCAAGCCCCTTGTCCTCCTGCACCCCACCCCTGGGGCTGGGACGGTGCGCAGGGAAATGAATGGAGTTTGCCACACTACAATGAGCTTTTGATGGGAGACAATGGAGGAGGCTGCCAGCACCTCACAGGGTGGTAAGAACAGAGCAATATGGGGCCCATCTACTGGCCCTCCCCTCCTGCTCCCCCAGGCCCCTGGCCCCTACTCTTAGATTCATAATGGCATCTGGAGGGGAAAGAAGGGAAAGTGATGTCAAATGTCAGGAAATCAGAAGGATGGCAAGCTGACAACCCCCTCCCATGCTCCCATTCCTTCAAACGCCTCTGCCCAACGGTAGCACAGGTTAATATCACATTTATAAAATCACTTACAAGAAACAAAGCCGGCTCTTAGCCCCCTGTCACTCTCAGACAGTTATATAGAGAGCTTTGCCAGGGGCCAAACAGGTAACCATTTGTTCACTGATCGCCCCATACCTGTCCCTCACTCTGTCCAGAGCAGCACCAACACACTTACTTTTGACTCACATCTACCAACTCTCTCTGGACTTTTCATATTTTACTACATCTACAGAATCCATTATACAATACACCAAACACCTATGAGTAAGTCCTACATTTTAAACACAAACAAGCACAAAATTGTAAAGATAATAACACTGAAAAAATGTCTGCCGTAATTGTTGGATGCAGAACTGCACTTAACTTGTGTCTGTCTCTTTCAGCCAATGGGATGGGAGATCCGACCAACTCCAATCTGGGCAGCGCCACAAGTCCCAAACTTGAACCCCCTCCGTCGCCCCACGCCAACCGCAAGAAACACAGAAGGAAAAAGAGCACGGGCATCACCAAACCAGACGGCCTCTCAACGGGCAACGAAGGTACACACACACACACACACTCACACATACACATACACACACACTCACAGTTTACATAAAGCTAATGGAGCTCACTTTGCACAAGCTGTGAGCATGACTAAAAAGTTTATTTTTACAATAAGAAAAACATGGTCAGCTTGAGGTGCAGTTTAAATGTACAGGAAGTTACATGTTAGCTCGTGATGTTAAGAGTATGGTTACTTATTTATTCTATTAGTAGTAAAAAAAAAAAAAAAAAACACTAGTCATATTTAACTTTTTTTTGCAGTTTGTTATTTTTGATTCTGATATTACTCACATTCATTCTAATATAACTCTGCATTTTAAAATAATCATTTTAATCACTTTTAGAATTTGGTTAATGAAAAACGTAACCTTTTTTTCTAGTGCTATTGTCAAACTTAAACTGGAAACATCTTTGTAAGTGGTATCCCAGACATTTTGTAAATTTGATAAAAAATTTAAAGATAATTTTTGATGTGCCAAATCTGTTAATCTGCATTTGCATAGTTCACTCTTCACTATTTAAGTTATTTGTGATTCCGATATCATGCCTACATTTTCTGTTAATTAATCAATCAAATTACTGGATGAAACTAAACTAAAATATAATAATTTTTAGCCCCATTGTCAAACTTGAATACACCATTGTAAGTAATATCCAAAACATTCCAAGTTTGCTTAAAAATGTAAAAAAAATCTATATCTATTAATCACACTTGAATCTCTAATCATCATTTGCGTTAGTACTTAAAAGTACGTATATCTGCCCTGTCCATGTACCCCCTTGCTTTGCCCACCCCCCTAGTCCCCTCCCCTCTCTCTCTGTCTCCCCTTCTCTGAATAGTCCCATAGCCCGGGTCCTTCCCAGCAGGGGAGTGGCAGTCTCCTCTCCACCCAATTAATAATGATTCCCCGGCCCAATGATGAATGGAGTGCCCTAATTGGATGGCATTGTGAAAACACTGAGACGCATTTCAGAGGCCATAAAACTGATGTCACCCGCGCGGGATGATCAATCAACAAGATTGATACGCTGGATAACAACAACAATGGCATTGACGCCTCCTAAATGGGGCTTAGCATTAATAATCATTATACTTTTTTATCATGCTCGCTGACAGCTCCTCTTTAAAGTGTGAATGGCTCTGTTGACCACATTGTATGGAGCGCACATCATCAGCATCACAGAGATAAGTGCCGCTGTTCTTATTGTTCAAACACTAGACCCTTGTGCAGGCCCTCTAGCCTGATAGCTCTGGGAGATGTTTCTCTTTTACACATTCAGCCGAGAATCATCAGAACAGAATGAGAAAATGTTCTAGTATTTTGTTACAAATCTACCAGCTTGCCTCATGACTTGGTTTTACATGCGTTTTGAGTCCTATAAGGTGACATCAAAATGGTCAAAGTGACACTCTCCCCTCACATCAAGAAAGTTACAGGTTCAATTCCCATGGCAGTGTGAGTTTCTTCCGGGCCCCTTCCCCCATCAATCTAAAACATGGACAATAGGCAAAGTCCTCCAGTTGAAAAAGTCCTGATTAAGTCTTGCTCTGGATGGGTCCCCGGATGTTGTGGCTGCCCTCCGCTACAGACAGATTGCCCCAGTTGCATTGAAGGATGGGTCAAATGCAGGCCAGCAGTTTTCCTATGGGGACAATGAAGTGTACCTTATTAAGTAATTATGACAAAAAATATTTCTGGAGTTCTTTTTTTTTAGAAGACCTATTGGTCTTGTTTCTGTTTAGTTATAATCTATGACACCCGTGGATCATTATGTTATAATTTGGACATTTTGAATCAGAATATTCATCTAAAATGACTTAATAAAAGAAACAAATGAGCTGATTTCCATGTTAGAAAATTGTGGTGTCCAATGGGAGCAGTAAACGTCATCACAACAAAGTGCAGTGAAGCTGTAGACACCTCCTGCAGATAAACATCAGGCTAGTGAACCACAGATGTTTGTTTTTTTTCATTTGTACCAAAATGACTATGTGATGCTGCCAAATCTTACGCCTATCACAGATTGTGAAAATATAATTGGAGAATGAAGTTTGTACAGAGCAGTGATTATCAAATACAAAAGTATTTCATGAGTTCGGTTCAGTTATCAAAAATTCAGCATAATGTTGCATTGAACATAAAACCACAACCTCTTTAAATGGTAGTACCAATCCAAAGACAAGAACAGATAATCAAAAAATTGAAGATGCCTAAATATATTGCCCTTAAACGTCCTATATTACGCAGAATGGACAAATTGTTTTAGTCTGTCATCAATCAGTAGATTTCAAGTTAAAGCTTCCTTTTCATTTTTTGTTTCATAGAGACTGAAATGATTTAAATGATTCTAGTGAAGCGGTATAGATTTTAAAAACACAGTGGAGCACTTCCTGTATTACAAGATGACATCACAATGTGAAGCAGAGTGTTTTCTGTTTGAGACAAGAATTCAGTCGAAATATGCAGGATTTGTGTGTTAAACATGTGTGAATGAAACAAAACACAACTCCATGTATGTTTTTGAGGAGGAAATAACATTATAACATAGATCAGAAAATAAGGTAACATTGGCCCTTTAAACTCCACACATTGCCAACAGAAAGTGCTTGTTTGTGTGTGATAATTGTGGTGGTAGGTTGTGGATAATGAAGCCAGGCTGCAGTGCACTTTCTGAGGAGGAGGAGGAGGTACGAAGCAATCAGGCAGGAGACACCATATCCCCAATGTTCCTCACGTCATCAAACACGCACATTGTTTTCCCCTCGCTCTCATTGTCCCTGTGAAGTTTTCTATTAGCCCCAGCTTGTCTGTTCTGCTGAATGCCCTAAAATACAGACGTACCGCTTTAAATATTGGATTCGCCCAGGTCTTGATGTGATCGGAGCGCGCGGGAGAGAGAGGAGAGGCGCGAGGTGGATCTTTGAATAAATTGCTATCAGTTTATCTCATTTACGGGACAATCAGAAGCGTGCAGTGCAGGCTGAAATTGAATTTTAGTAGTTTTGAAGCGTCATAAATCAAGGCAGCGTCTTAAGATGAGATATCATTTTGGTCATGATAACATGTGTACGCTTTGAAGGGGAGCTGGGAGGAAAGTTTCACTGAAATGCGGTGGGTTCCATCCAGGCATGTTTTACCGTGGGGCGCTGTAATTTTATCTGTCATTATTGGGAATTAAATTGTCTTTAGCCATGGATATTAAAATGAAACTAGAAAGAACACAGAAAACTGAGAGGCCCTGCAGGGAGTGTATGTGCTGAAGTTTTTATAGCAAAAATCAGTCGTTCATTTTATAGTTGCTTGAACGTTTTTGCACAATTTAACAGAAGTTCTTGAGATTTGCAGGCCCCTCAGATAAAAAAAGAAATGAATAATATTAGATTTAAATTATACATAAATAAAATATCAGTCAACAACGATATGACACGATTAAGTGATGTGTAAATTAGAAAATGCTTCCACAAAATGTATTTATTTTTCTGTGATTTGTACTTAAATAGATTTCTTAATTATAACACCAACTGTTTTTCCTCATCTTTACTTTTTATTTTTTTTATATCCATATCCGCTCCATATAAAATACATTCCTACTCCTTTTGAGCATCATGGACTCCACAGCATATTACTGTTTATCACATTTGAACATCTCTTTTATTTTATACTAGTATAATAACCATTGTGAAGTGAATGTGTCTTTATGTACTTTTTTTTAAACTGATGCTGAAATAAATAAATAAATAAAAATAATACAAAAAAATATATAAAATACAATAATAAAATAAAATAAAATCTAAATAATTTTACATCAAAATAATGCAAATAAAAATTAAAACACACATTTATTTCGTCGATATCTTAAAAAAAAAAAAAAAGCCCCCATTTTCACCAAGGACACGCGCGGTGGTCACTGTCTGTAATCCACACAGTCCCTAATCCACCACTGTGCCCCTGTAGCAGAGCCCTGTGCTGTAATGAACTCCTCATGTGCTTAAAGAATGATGCAGGACGCACCGTGAGACGACTGACAGAGGCGTAATGCGTTTCACAGCGGCCGCCTCTCCCCGTGTGGCGCTCCCATAAACCCACTGCACAATCGATGGCCGATAAAGAGCTGTGTTCAGGGGGAGCCCTCTGATGAATGCACACTGTCACACGGCCTCATTAATGTATTTCTCTGTTAAAGGAAGTGCAGCAAATGTTCAGAGCTTCACATTTGCATATGGGTTACCTTAAAGGGCCTGTGTTACTCTATTCTCTGATCTGTGTTAGAATGTTGTTTCCTCGTCACAAACAGACCTGGAGTTGTGTTTTGTTCTGTTCACACATGTTAAACCCAAACATCCTGCATATTTAGGCCTTCTCTGAAACGCAATCCACTCTGTTCCACCTTGTGATGTCATGTGGTGATAAAGGAAGTGCTCCACTCTGTTTTTAAACTCTGTACACCTTCACTAGAGTTATTTGGATGATTTCAGACCTGGAATTTCCATCTATACTAAATAAAATGTCAAATGTAGCTGTTCAAAACTTGAAAACTACCGCTTCGTGACATCACAAAGTGGAACAGAGCATTTTGAGCTTTGGAGATTGTAATATATAATGCAAGATTACTCAAACTGAAACAAAACACACACTCAAGCTATGTTTTTTGAGAACATTTTGTATAATTTAATAATGCAATTTAGAATTAGAGCTTCTTCTCCCTGTTTATTTCTTTCAACTTCCCATTTTCATGAATTAGTTCAGCTCAAAATCCAACCACATTTAGTTTTTTCTGTTTAAAGTTCATGTTAGACCGGCCTCGTCACTAAAAAGTAAACTGCGTAGCATTTAGTCAAGATCAAATCAAACTTTATATAGAGCATATACATTGCTTGTGGCCAAAGTACATTACACAGACAATTCAAATGAGTAAAATAACTCTGAAATTTAAAAGATATGGACCAGCCCTTGGCAAAACGCAGCCTCCGTCTAGAGTAAATGTCAACACA